GCTGGCTTTGAACTCATTATGTAGCCCAGGGTGGTCTCAAATTTATGGCAATCCTCCTGCCTCAGCCTCCTAAGTGCTGGGATTACAGATGTGTGCCAGCCCAGCAAATATATTTTAAAAAATAAAAGAAAAAGATATTAATAATGTTTTACTTAGACTAGGCGTGGTGGTGTGAACCTGTAATCCCAGCTCTTGGGAGGCTATAAACAGGCGTATCACTACGAGTCTGATCTAGTAGTGAGACCCTGAACACCCTGTAGACCCTTCCTCCCTGCAAAAAAAAAATAATAGTAATAACTTTTTCTTAACCTATAATAGCCTAGTGGCTGAGGAGATAGCTCAGTTGCATAAGTGCCTGCCTGGCAAGTACAAGGTCTTGAGTTTAATCCTTGGTACCAAAAATACCCCAAAAAACAAAACAAAACAAACAAACAAAAAACCCCACCTATAACAGCCTACTATATTTATTATATTTTATTTTACCTATTACTCAGGGCGGAGCTGGCATGGCATGTGGTGCTGGGAATCGAACCTCAGTCCTCTGCACCTGCCTAAGCTTGCCTAAGCAGGCACTAAATTTAGACTGCTGAGCTATCTCGCCGGCCCTGTATTCTTTTACTCATATGAAGTCTTCAAAACCTCGTGAATGTTTTGCAATTGCAGCACATCCCCATATTCAAGGTTCAATAGTCACGAAACTAGATACTACTAGAAAGGGCAGAGCAGCTCTAGTGAATGAGCTAAGAGGCTGTATTGAGACTGGGCGTGGTGGCACACGCCTGTAAGCCCAGTTCGTGGGAGGCTGTAAACAGGCGGATCACTAGGAGTCTGATCTAGTAGTGAGACCCTGAACACTCTGTAGACTCTTCCCTAAAATACAAAAAAGAAAAAAGAAAATATTGCCAGAAGCTGTATTAAATAGAACTTCCAGGAGCTGGATGTGATGGTGCCCAACTGTAATCCCAGCATTCTGGGAGCCTGAGGCAGGACAAGCGCTGGGGATGTAGTTCAGTGCAAAGATTGGGTTCAATCCTCAGCCCCTCCCAAAGAGTAATTATATAAATAATAAACTTATTACAATTATGTTAAGTACTGAAAAGCAAAAATTGCACCGGAAAACTTATCCTAATATATTAAAGGGGTCAGGATGGGTGTCCCTAATTAAGAACTTAAAGGTAACTGGGAGTTAGGCAAGAGATGAAAGGGAGAAGATATAATGAGAACAGCGAATACCTCAGACAAAAGAAAAAGCCATAAAGTACAGCATAGATAAAAGACTTGAAGGCAGGAAATAACACAATTTTCTTCTTTGCTTAATCTTTTATTTACTTATTTATTTGGCACAGGGTCTTGCTACACAGCTCAGACTCATAGTGATCCTCCTGTCTAGCTTCCCCAGCAGTGGAATTACAGGTGTGCGCCACCACAGTGGCATGCCATGCGGTACTGGGGATCAAACCAAGGTCCTTGTGCTTGCCAGGCAGGCCCTTAGATCACCAAGCTACCTCCCCAGCCCACAATAACACAGTTTTTCTAAGTTAAGTAAAGGAAGGTCAGCTTGTCCTGAGCAGGAGGAGGCAAGTATTAAGAAATGAAGCTAAGGCCCAAGGAGACAGTTCAGTAGAATAAGGAGATAGCTCAGTAGAATAAGCACTTGCCTGGCAAACACAGGGGCCTGAGTTCAATCCCCGGTACTGAAAAGAAAAAGAAATGAAGCTAGAAACTTTATCTTGGGCCTGCATCTAGGTCACACCATGAAAAAAAAAAAAAAGGAATTAAATTCAAGGTGCTATTAAGAAGTTTTAATTAGAGGAATGAAGGGCCAGCCAGATAGCTCAGCAGATTAAAGCTCCTGCTTAGGCAGATGCAGGGACCAGGGTTAGGACTGGGGTTCTGTCCCTGGTATGCTGTAGTAGCCCCGACCCCGGAGTGTGCTCAGATGGGGTTGAGACTGGGGTCTGTAATCCCAGCACTTGGGAGGCTGAAAACAGGAGGATCACTACCAGTCTGATCTGTGTAGTGAGACCCTGTATACCCTGTACTAAATACATTAAAAAGAAAAAAAAGAGGAATGAGAGTTATTCATTCACTTGACATATATTTATTAAGCACCTACTATATGTCAGGTACTATTCAAGGTGCTGAAATGACAAGATCATATTTGGTTGGGATTTTTTTGGTACTGGGGATTGAACTCAGAACCTTGTACTTGCCAGGCAGATGCTTATGCCACTGAGCTATCTCCTCAGACTATATCTTCATATCTATCTATCTATCTATCTATCTATATAGAAAGAGAGCGAGAGATTGATAACTGGAATCAAACTCAGATGCCTAAGCTACTGAGCTATCTCCTGGCCCCAGTTTTTTTTTTTTTAAATTTTAATTTTTTTGCGGAACCAGGGATTGAACTCAGGCCCTTGTGCTTGCTGGGGAAGTGCTTATTCTACTGAGCTATCTCCTCAGCCCCTCCTAATTTGGTTTTAAAACAGATCTGGCTATAGTATGGACAATAGACAATGGTTTGGGGGTAGTAAAATATTTGCCATTCTGCCACACTAGAACATAAACTGGACATTTATGTTGATAAATGGACAGAGAAAACATTCGTGAGCTTGCCCAGGAACGCTGGCACTACAATTAAGCTCCAGTGTGTAACACACCATGGTGTGGAAACCAGAATTCAACAGATGATTCCTGAATTTATGGCAAGATTCCTGAAACATAAGCCAAAGCTTCCCAAATCTAGTGAAAGAGATCACCCTTTCCCTCCACGTGGAGAAAGTGAAAGGACAGAGGACAACACATGTACCTCCCGGCCTCAATCCTCCCACATGCGTGCTCTCTCACTGTGGGAGTGGCACGCCCACTTGGCAGATGCTAACACCCCAGCTCCAGGTTCACGTAGTGTTCGAGAGGCTGCTGAGGTTGGAGGTGAGGCTGCGGGATCTGTGAGGGCGGGGAGCCACGTCTATGTTATTCCCCATCATGCCAGAGCCATGTATAGAACAGTCCCTTGACACAGGTTGAAATGATCCTCTAATTATAAAGTTCAAACTCTTCCTAGAACTTCTGGGCTGTAGCGTAGGAAGACAGCAAAAGTGTACATTTACATAAATGCTAGAAATGAGAAGTGAAGGGTGAGGCTGCACCAGGGAAAGGAGTTTTCGAAAGGCAAGAGATGGACCCAGTGCTTGCTAGAAAGCAGGTGGCAGGTGAGACCACCTGGAAACAGCCCTTTAAGGATAATTTAAGACTCAACAGCTGTGACTAAGACTATATCAAAGTCTGGGTTTCAGAAATTCTTACCTGAAAGCTCCTAGGCCGTGGGAAAAGATGATCAAGGGATATCCAGAGTCCTTTGTCTTAAAGGGGCCATTCCAATTAACAGGCAGGCGACAAGATCCTGGCAAAGACACAGGCTATAGAATTTCTGGCTGCCGGAAGTTGTAATCCCAAGGGCAAACCAAGCACAGGCATGTCAGCATTGGTGTCCCTCCCCTGTGGAGAACTGCAAGTTGTCCCTAAGTACCCCAAGGCAATCATCTACTCCTTTCCTCTTTTTATTCCTAGAGTGGACACCACAAAAAACAGGAAGACAAACCAAAGGGGTTCATGAAGTACAGTGGTGATTCATGTGCTCATGCACAAGACCTTGGGTTCTTTTCTTTTCTTTCCTTTTTTTTTTTTTTGAGACAGGGTCTCACTATGCAGCTCAGGCTGACCTTGAGCTCACTTTGTAGCCCAGGTTGGTCTCAAACTCATAATGATCCTCCTGCTTCAGCCTCCCAAGGGTGGGATTCCAGAAGTGTGCTACCACGCCTGGCCCAAGACCCTAGGTTCCATGCTCAGCATGACCAAAACAAACAATCCCCCCCTCCAAAAAAAAAAAAAAAACAAACAAAAACAAGTAAACAAAAAAGGCAACACTTTGGCCCATGCCTGGAATCCCAGCACTGAGGGAAAGGTTGAGGCAGGAGGATTATTGCAAGTTAGAGACCAGCCTGAGCTACAAAGTAAGATCAAGGTCACCCTGAGCTGCATAGCAAGACCGTGTTTCAAAAAGACATTTAAAAAAGGGGGGGGGGGGGGAAGCAACACTAAACAAATCTGGGCAGATACTTGAGATGCCAAGGCAATAGAGTTTCAGAACTTGGGACCTTTCTGAGGAAGTGGTTGATTCAGTGAGAGCTCACCCAAAAGAGGGGATGGCTGGGGGGAGGGCAGAAGGCTGTTGGCTCTGAGTTGCTAATGGCCCAATCTACGCAACAGCTGACAGAAAGTGGGAATTAACAGCTGCTGCACAAAAGACTCATAGCTGCCACTTAGGGCCCCCATTCAGTGCCCAGAGCACTGCACTAGGGGCTTCATATACACCCCAAACTACAACCCTGCAAAGGCAAGAATTCAGACCAGGTAACTTGTCCAATCCCACCCTCTACAAAAGCAGAGATGCTATAGGCTAAAAGATGCTTTAGCTCTCATAGGGACACAACCAGGCAACAAAGAACACCAAGGGCCAGGGCAGCCTTACCCATGGCCAGGTTGAACAGCAACCCCACCCAGCGCTTGTTAAACTTCAGGTAATCAGCCAGGCCAACGCAGTACTCATAGCGGGGAATCCACAGTGGTTGCTCCGTGGCCTCCCGTGCCTCTTGGCAGGGGTAGAAGAGTCGAAAGAAGCTCCCCTATAGGAGAAAAGAGAGCAGCAACTCAGAGCAAGAAGTCCAGGCACCATTCAGACTTCCCAACGGACGCACACTGTGGTGCTGCCAACACAGGGAAGCAGGTTTCATTACCACCCCCAGCCTTCACTTTCAGGAGGTCCAGCAAGAAACAAAGCTTACTTTCAGCATACCTGAAAGCCTCCTGTTATTTCAAGTAGCTATTTTGAGTTACATCTTAGATGGAGGGGCACCAAATATTTGAGTCCTTGGGGCACAGAAAGATTTACTTCTGGTCCTGAGTCCAGGCCTGGAAAATCTCTGGGAGCTAGAGATTTGCCCTTTTGCCCCTCCAGGCTGGCTCTCAGATACAGCAGACAGTGCCGGAAGGAAGTCAGGGAAACAGGACGCAGGAAAGGAGATGATGAGAGGACTGGGGCAATGATATGTGCATGGCCTCTGCTATTCTTATCCAATGAGATTAAACAAAACAACACAACACAACACAACACAAAAGAAAAGAAAAAACCTCCCCATAATTAGGCATCTGCTCTCAAACCGCAAAAGGTGTTTTTTTTTTT